GGAAAAGCATTGTTGCTGCCATGCTGGATGCAACTATCAAGGGGGAGAATGATAGTTGGTGTAAACTACTGTTGAATGCCCTGATAAGTTGTTTTAGCCAAAATTTGCCAAAGGGGGAGTTTGTTAGTTCCATGGTTCTATGATATAGAATTATCCATGGTTCTATGATTGGCTAAATTGTGGTAAAACATGACTCTGCACTAATGTTAAGCAGGATGTCATTACCATAGTTATGACATCGCTAAAGGAGCAAGCAGGAGCTGGTGAAAGAACTACTGTGGAGTGGTTTAATGTGAATGTCATGCTGAATGTCGTGACATCCATCATGACTGTCCATATGCTGTCATGACAGAACTACTGTCATGTGTGAGAAACAGCAGGAGTAGTGGTGCAGCAGGAGCTAGCAGGAGCTGATAACAGAACTGTTGTCATGTATTGCATCTGGTGCAGCAGGAGCTTGCAGTAGAAGCTAACAAGAACAGATGACAGAACTGTTGTCATGGATGTCATTACCAAAGTAATGACATAGCTGTCTAGCACAGCAGGTGCTGCTATGTGTTAGCAGTAGCCACAACAGGTTGAATTATGGTGAAGTTCCTCACATGTAGTGAGTGAGGTGTGCAGCCACAACTGTTGGAGTTGTGATGAAGCTCCTCACAGGCAGTGTGACGTTTGCAGCCACAACAGTGTGAGTTGTGGTGAGTGAGGGGTGTTATCATGTGTTTTAAGCAAGACATAATTGCATGACAACAGAAGGAACTGGTAGTGTATATCTCTTGACAGAATCGGTTTGGAGTGATGAGACCATGTTGAAAATACCTCATCAGTAAATATGTCAAGGAGATGGATTAGGAATAAGAACAAAGTGTATTGGTAGTCATAAAAGGATCTTGAAGACCTTTTAGGAAACTTGAATATACTTGTTTCTAATATTATTCTGCAGAAGATTGGGAGAAACCATGACTGTCATGATGAAGATTCTGCAGGGCAAGCTGGTCAGCTAAGAGGAAGTGAAGCTGAATGTCATGACCAACATTATGACATTGATCGTATGACATCAGACGGGCTGAGTTTGTCTTTCTGTTATGATACCTGATATATCTCAGGCTAAATATCAGGAAACATGTTATGACTCCTGAGTTATCTCAGGAGAGATTCAAGGTAATGTTGACCATGCCATGACCTAATTGGACATCACCTTGAATTGTGGAAATTAGTTTTATTTTGTTAAAACTAATATTTGTATTTTCTACACAGCCCAAGCCCAGTCTACACGACTATAAAAGGAGGAGCAAAAGCAGAAGAAAAGCAAGCACTCACATCAAGAAAAATCAGAGTGTAAAATAAAGGTCTAGAGTTTGAGAGTCCCTTGTGTGTAAGTCACCCTTTGTATCTTTTGATACATTGAGGTAGACATATTTGTAAGTGAAGAAGGCTAGTCTTCACTTGTAAAGTCTGTTTAGGAATACTTGTAATCCAAGCAATTTCCTGGAGGATGATTGTTTTGGTTATATAGATTCTAGGTTGTGTCTCACTCGAAGCTGTGAAGCAAGAGTGTGTGAGTTCCTTGATCAAAGCTGTGAAGCAAGATCAAGGTGTGTATGAAGTGTCTCTTCATACTGTTTTTGTAATTGTTTGATATCACTGTTGTGTGATTGATGGGGAGTGAGTGGATATACTCAGGTACTAGAGTGTCTCTAGGATGAAGTGTCATTGGGTAGAGATTAAGTTAGAAGTGCAAACTGGAGGTTTGACTTTGAATTGATTCTACTAATAGTGAATTTCCTCTCTGGCTTGGTAGCCCCCAGATGTAGGTGTTGTTGATACCGAACTGGGTGAACAATTACTCTGTTATTTATCTTTCTGCATTTACAATTTTGTACTTTAAATGGTTAGATAAATAGTATGACAAACTGCAGATGTCACAACAAAGGTCGTGACATTGGTCATGACATTGGGACAATTTAAAGAAATTTAAATTGGCCATGGTCTGTCCTCATCCTTGTTGAGCAGAGATCAATGTTCTTGGAACACATGTGATCTGCATACCAGAATTTCACCTATCACTACCAGAAGTTGAAGGCCGTGTGCCACTTCCACCAGATGAAGGGCAAGTACTGAGATGACTGGGTGAACTAGGCCCAACATTGGCATTTGGAGACACAGAAGAACCCCAGGCATTTGATGCAGAAGATGATGATTTACTGCCCCAGCCAAGGGTACCCCTAATAAATATAAGAAAACACAAGAACCAATTATCTAGTCTACAGGAACAAAAGCAGCTAAAAAAATACATATTAGTCAAATTAACAGAATATTTACTCACTTCGGTACAATCTACACATTTGGGTCCAAACCATAATTTTCTAACCTTAAAACAAAAGGAAATAAGCAAGTTTAGATCATGGACCAACAACACTAGATAACTGTGAAGGTAAATAATTCAGCCAGAAATCAAATACCTCTGACTGGGTAAGTTTATAGGTTTTGGAACTGCAACTTTCCCTAACACAGTCATATCACAATAATGCAAATCAATAAAATACGAGAACATTAAGACTTAATATACCATAACCAAAATGATAATTCCATAAACTCACATGTTCAGAAATACGTTCAATATACTTTCTTCTCTCCGATTGCCTCGCCGTAGTCTCTAACCAACACCGTCGCTCCGGAGTTTAGGCTCTGTTGAATCTCAGTTAGGGTTGGAATTAGAAATTCATGAGTTGAATGAAAAACATAACAAAATCTTAACCTTAAAATGGCAAATAACACAAACAAATTGTTCTACCTTATCAGACTTAGGAATAAGTTTTCTGAGATTAGCAAGCTGAGTATTGATTCTATCTCTGCGTCTTTTCTCTGCTTGACTATGACTCTTGGAAGCACTTGCAACTCTATCTTCTAAGCTTCCTTCAACAGGTAAAGGCCAAGACTGAAACTCACTACATTGAAAAGAAGCAGAAGAAGAATCGGAGATAGTTTGAGGTTGAATTTGAGCAGGAAAGTGTGAATGAAGAGATGATCTTGAACGAAGAGATGATTTTGAAGAAAAGAAGCAGAAGAAGAATCAGAGATAGTTGAGGTTGATTTTAGGGGTTTTTTTTTCTTCTAAATGTTTAATTTTAGGGTTCTTCATTCTGAAAGGAATTAAGAGGGAAACATGAAAAACAAGAGTGAGAAATAATTAGCCTCGGCTCATCCGTGTCTATCAAATAAAATAAATATATTCGAAAAAAATAAAAATAATTAGCCTCGGCTAATCCGTGTCTAATATTTAAAAATAATAATTCAAAAATTAAAAAATATCTAGCCTCGGCCTAGCCATGTCTAATGAATTAAATAAAAATAATTGTAAAAAAGAAAAACTTTAAAATGACTTTTTTTGCGTTTAAATAGCCTCGGTTTTGTCAAGGCTAGTTAGCCTCGGTGTTGGTGGCCGAGGCTAAATTCACAGCTAAAAATAGTTAGCCTCGGTTCATCCGTGTCTAATATTTAAAAAAAATAATTCAAAAATTAAAAAATATCTAGCCTCGTCCTAGCCATGTCTAATAAATTAAATAAAAATAATTGTAAAAGAAAACCTTTAAAATGGTTTTTTTTTGCGTTTAAATAACCTCGGTTTTGTCGAGGTTAGTTAGCCTCGGTGTCGGTGGCCGATGCTAAATTCGCAGCTAAAATGAAGTTTTCTAGTAGTGTGACCTTGTCTTTCCCGTTCTTTTAGGTTTTCTTCGATCGTTTATTTTCCCTCTATTTGGGATAAATAACGTTCGGTGGCGACTCTTCTGTTTGTTTCTGTCAGCCCTTTTCACAGTTGCGACAATGACAACATAACTCGCACACGTGGAGACACACCTGAACCCATCTTGAGTTTGACGCAAAAAACTCGATTTGATTGGATTTGAGTTTTCCTTGATTATAAAATATGAAGATGGGTCACAAAACGGAGATACTTATACTCACTCCAAATCCGTTCTGTTCATTTCATTATGTATTTTATTATTTAGTTTTGATAACTTAAAATATTAAATGTATAGACAACACTTTAGTATTTTGCTTTGTATTTTATTATTTAAAATATTTAAAATATATGTATAGAATTTTTAAAAATTGTTTTATTTTAATTATTATTTACGATTAATTTGATGTTGTGAAAATGAAATATTTCTATTGATAAAATTGATTTCATTACATGAATTGTGTGTGGGCTTAAGATATTTATTTTAATTTTTCGTCATTGAAAAATGCAGCAGAAAATAGAAATTGTTTAAATATTCAAATTTGGATATAGAGAGGTAAATCCATCCCACCCCGCCCATTTGACATGTCTAATTGAAGAAAATAAACACAATACAATAAAGTCATGTTAGTTAAATAAATGACCAATAAATTGAAATTTTTGAAAGAGAATCCATTACTAATGTTAAGACCATTATCCTCCATTCAAATCCATGGTTCGGAAGACTAAGGTTTAGGCAAATAATGAATGCATTGGATTACCAAGATTGCGATGAGAGGAATGTAACAAAATTGGGATTAGAGCAGGGTTAATTAAGGAGGGAAGAGAAGGGGGCGAGAGAATAATATGAATGACAAAAAGAGACTGAGAAGGGAAAAGGAAGTTAGTACTAGTACACCAGTAGCACTAGTATTCCATTTTCCTTGGGGCAGAGCAGAGAGATACGGATATACAGAGAGAGACGTTTTCATTCATTTAGTAAAGCTAAAAGCCTCGTGATCGTAGAATGCAGATAGATCCTGGAAGACTGTTCCACCCTGTCACGTGCTCACTTTTGACTACCCAATCAATCAATCTCACTCTTCCCCTCTTCTTTTCTTTTCCTATGTTACTCTCTCACTCTTCCTCTCTTTCTCTTCTCCTATAAATTCAAACCATTCCACCCAAATTATTATACTCAGTCACAAACAGTGCTGCACTCTCTCACTCACTGCAAACTGCATCATCATCATCATCACTCACTAACTTTCTCTTTTCAATGATGCATCATTGTTGTAGCAGCTCTCAGCAAGGTCACATAATGGGAGGAGGAGGAACATGCACATGCGGTATGTTTCATCCACAAACCAACTCTAACTACTCCATGATTTTCTCTAACTACCAAAACCATGATCATTACGATCACTACGACTCCTACTCCTACACTTCTCCATCTTCTTCTGTTGACTGTACACTCTCCCTTGCCACCCCTTCCACGCGTTTATCTGAAGACCAAGAGAAACGAAACCGTCGCTCTTCTCTTACCAACTTCTGGAACAATAATACTAGCCATTCAAACTCAAACTCAAACTCAAGCTCAAAACACAATTCTCAATCTCAAAACAAATCAAACAGAGGAAACAACATTGGCAATAACTCCAACAATGATTCTCTTCTCGCTCGTCGATGTGCTAGCTGTGACACCACTTCTACACCTCTTTGGAGGAATGGTCCTCGTGGCCCAAAGGTAAATATAATTTGTGTTCAAACTTCAAAATCTTTGGTTTTTTTTAAAAAATGTGTTGTAATAATGGATGTGGATTGAACTTGCAGTCACTATGCAATGCTTGTGGGATTAGATACAAGAAGGAAGAACGAAGAGCGAATGCTGCCACGTCAGCCGCGACAAACGGTGTAATGGATACAAGCAGCATCTACAGCAACAACAACAACGGTTCATGGTACGGACAACCGCAGAGTCAAATGTATGGGAACGAGTTACGGTTCATGGAAGATTCAGATGTAGAATCAGAAAATGGGATTCCTGATTTTCTTTCTTGGAGACTCAACACGAGCCTTGTTCATGATTACACCAGATGAATGAAGCGTTAATGGAACGAATACGTTAATATGAGTATAACAGAAAGAAGAAAAAGTATGATGTAGATGTAGTTTACGTCAATGTTTTACGATGATGATGTAGATGTTTTTGATTGCGATGGTTAAGTTATGATGGTCTGGTCAACGTTATTTTACTTTTTTGACATTTTTCTTTTTCATTTAGTTCTTTTCTTTTCTCTGTCTTCTTGCTTAAGAATATGGAGATAGAGAATCGGATAAATTCTATAGAGTAATGTTGTTAACTTGTTTGTTTTTGTTTTAATTATTTATTTATTAATGTATTCTTTTTTTGTGACTTTATCTTTTGAGCTATTAGTACTTCGAAATCTCAACCTTTCTGTTCCTTCACTTTCGCTGTTGAAAACCATATATGATTATCACACATGTGGCCCACTCATTCATTTGGGTCAAATGCAGAGGACACTATATTATGGAGATAGTTTGCTTTCTGCCTTGTAGTGTATCTTTTTGAGATCATGTTAATCAGTAGTACTACAATATACTACAATGATAACAATAGTTTTTTCAATTAATGATAGTAATACTAATCCAAATAGGGTCACATTCCAGAAATATGAAGAGAAACATAGAGAGAAATAATGGTTATTTTTCATTGATGAATATTGAATTTGAAGTTACAAACTTTGTATTGGTAATGCTTTGATGCACGCACTGCGTGACCCCATTATAAGCAACCAGTAATAAAGATCTAATAAATTGACAATGTAGATTCCCTTGAGGCACTAGTAATCATCTACCATTCTATTAAAGTTAAAAGATATAAATGAATATTCATTAGAGCGGATACTATGATATGTGTATATGTTCCGTTAAATAAATACGATATCTATATCTATCTTATAGATAAAAATCTTTTTATAAAAATTATTTTTTGAAAAAAGATATTTGTAAAGACAATAAAAATCATTATCACATAGCATCCATACAATTTGCTCTTAATTTAATAATAAGATTCTTTCACATTAATTTTATTTTTTCACAAAAATATAATTAGATCCAAACATAATATTCATACATTTCATTTTTAATCAAACAAATAAAAGATATTGTGATTGTGAGTTATGATAGAAGATTGAACGACTGAGGAGTAGGAAGAGAGACACTGGTTCAACAGAGGAATGACGATATTAGTTTTTTGGACGGTGAAATAGATGAAGTGAGGTATGAAGTATCAAAGAGTTTAAATATGAAATGACTAATAGAATTTGAATGAAAAGTGAAATGTTTTCTTCAAAGAAAATTAAAAAAAAAAGTACAAGAAGACTAGTTTTTTTAAGAGATGAAAAAATAAGTTATAATAAACTAATGATATTTAAATAATTTTATTAATTTATAAACGGATATGGATATCATTAAACACATATCCATATCCATTTACAAACGAGTATTTAAATAGCCATTTATTTTGTCTGTAGATATCCATTAAGCTATCCGCCTCATATTCATGACGAATTTTATCTACGAATATTCTCGAATACATATTTTTTGTCATCCCGAAGTAAAGTAGATGAAGATTTAACATGTTACTCTCTATTAAACCTCACACCATATTTTTTAAGCTAATCATATATAAATAGATAAATTTGAATTAAAATTGCGAATAAAAATTTTGATAGTTTATTTAAAATGGTCAGTAACAGATCAAATTTTCTGATATGAATATTTTATCAATTTTTTTTTTTTAAATTAACATATTGATTTTTTTTAATAAATTTGGTATGTGCCTTATTTTTTTAAAATTTCAATAGTTTTAATTTTTTTTAAATACTATTGTAAATTTTAAAAAGTGTTGTAATTTACTGAAATTTTTGATAATATAAAAAAAAAAAATTTTTTTTAAAAATTCCGATACTTTTTTCAATTTTTTTTGAAAATCATTCGTTTTTCATCAGATATTTAAAAAAAAAATTCTAATTAACGCAATAAAAAATCCCAAAAAAAATTAGTAAGTGCATAAAGATAATAGCAACCACTATGTGGGGGTGCCTTGTTTAATTTGTTGGAAATTCATCAATTCCCATTCAAGAATTTCACCAATACTTGATGAATTCTGAACAAAATCTTGATGAATAAGAATCGATCTTTCTGATTGATTATCTCTCTTGTTCTACACTCTTCACTCGAGTCAATCAACTAACCTTGGTTGCAAGATAATTCTCGCTACACAATTGTTAATGGAAGAGGAAAGAAAAATTGAATTGAGAAATAAAGGGAATTAGAATTTCAACGTGAAAAGGAAGAAGTTTTTGCAGCGTTTCTCTCTGCTCTCAAACTAAGAATTTTATTCTTTGCAACTTCAAGTTCTTGTACAATAATATGCGTTACTACCTATTTATAGATTTAAGTTTGCTTGCTCCTTAAACAAAGCCCAAAATATCTAATTGTGCTAACACTATAAAGTTAGACCTAAGTCAAAATTTATGTCGAGGTACACTACTTCGACGTTTTGACACTCATACAATTTCGACACTTTCTTGCATCTATCAAACAACATGCTTCGACAAAAGGAATTACAATTCAACACACCACCTAATTCATTGTGTCTAAGCTATGTATATTAATCACAAACCTTAGTCTTTTAAACACTACGACCTGCATTCCTTTCGTCATGATGTTTGCAATCTGATTCTTAGTTCTGCGGTGTTCCAAGTTCAGCTTCACTTTTGCCACTTGCTCTCAAAGATAATGGAACCTCATTTAGACGTACTTGCTTCATCCATGCACTAGCGAGTTCTTTTCCCGATAGATAACATAGACGCTGCTTGACATGCACATAGGGAAGCAACTATGTATTCTGCTTCACATGACGATAATGTCACTAGTGGTTCTTTTCTTGAACTCCAAGCAAGTGGTGCACCACCTAGCATAAATACATAACCAGTTGTAGATTTTCTATCCTCAACATCACTACACCAACTTGAGTCGGTGTAACCCACTATCTTGCATTCTTTTCCTTCACCAACAGCAAGAAACAAAATGCCATAGTAGAGAGTTCCTTTCAGATACCTTAGTATCTTCTTCTTTGTTGCTATGAGTGATACCTTTGGCTTCTACGTGAATGTGCTCACCATGCCTACACTTTATGCTAGATCATACCTTGTGTGACAAAGGTATCAAAGTAATATATTGAGTCTTCTATATTGCTTTGGATCAACATCATCTTCCTCTGATTCTTTCAATAGTTACAATCTGGGATCAGTTGGAGTCGAAGTTGGGTTACAATCTTACATCTCAAATCTCTTGAGTATTTCGTCTGCATATCTTCTTTGGTGCATCATCAAGCCTCTACTACTCTTGTAGAATTTGATGCCAAGGAAGTATGAGATATTTCCCAAGTCTAACATTTCAAACTCTTCACTTAAGTCATGTTTGAAGTTGTTGCGGTGAGAATAGGATATCAAATTATTGATTAATTTGAATCACAATCTTGATTTATCCGAAGAAAAGGTTAAAGAAAGGAAAAACTTATTTTGCATCGTAAACACAATGCAGGGAGAGATCTAGGGTTCGGGGGTTGGTTAAGCTTAGGGAATATATTAACATCCTAAACTTTTGTAGTACTCTACAGGAACCTCTTGTTTAAATGTGCTATTGCTAATGGTTATCTTTTAAAAGGTATGCTAAAGGTTAAAGGGTAAAAAGAAGGACCTAAGGGGTTAGTCCTAATTATACTCTTCGAGACTCTCATCTTGTGCCTACGTATCCTGGGTAGGGGATGGAATCAGAGTAATCGTAGTTCCCCTTAAAGAGGGAGAAAGAAGAACTTCTTGGCCGCGGTCAAGGTTCCAATGGGAAGTAAACATTCATATGGAAGCGCTTACATGGAGTGCGGCGACTCCTATTCTATGTTGAAAGTTGAATTGAAAAAACGTGTAAGTAAGTATTCCACGGTGGGAACTTACATGGAGTGCGGCGACTCCTAATCCTAAGGCTAGGATAAAGGGATGAATGTCCATGGCGGGATGCCTAAGCACGAGTACGGCGACTCAGATCCTAAGGCTAGGATGGGTGAAGGTATGTCCACGGCGGGACGCCTAAGCACGAGTACGGTGACTCGGATCCTAAGGCTAGGATGGGGTGAGGGTAAAGGCATTGACACGACGGTCAAACGAAAAACATTTTCTTCAAAAACAGGACGGTTAAAAATAAAGCATAGAATATAATTGATATGGAGTGAGATATTGAAAATGCAAATATTATACAAATAAGCATGGTTAAGAGATTAAATTTGAATGGTAATTGAGAAATAGAGTTGGATGGTGAAATGTGATTTGATTATGTGGTAAATGGTGAATTGTTAAAAGAGAAAATGTTTTTGTTATTTTTTTTTTATAGAAAATTAAGTTAAGTGGAAATTAAGAGAAAATTAATTAATAGAGTAATTAACTTAAAGTTCTAAAAAAAGTTAATTAAAAGTTAAATTAATTTTGAATTTTTGTTGGTTAGATTTGAGATATATTTTTTATGATTTTTTTAATTTATTATGAAAATTTTGAAATTAAAAATAAAACCTAATCTAACATTTTTTTTATTATTTTTCATGATTTTATTTTAGTGTTAGTTGTTAGTATGTTATTATTTATTTATATATATTACAAAACAAAATAAAAAATAAAGACTAAAAAAAGTTAAAAAATATTGGGTGGGTTGGGGCGATGAAACCCCCAGACCCAAACCCAGTTTGTTAAACAAAGAAAAAAGGGTGGGGAAACCCTAGTTCCCCAAAGAACCCCAAATGTGGCACCGTTAACCTCTTCTTCTCTCTACTTCTCACAATTACTCTCTTCTCCTCTTTCCATCTGACTTCTCTCTACTTTTTCTTCTTCGTTTTGACGAAATCTCTTCTTCTTCTTCTTCTCTTCTGTCTGCTTGCTACATAAACACAAAAACAAACAAAAAATGTTAAAAGGGAGGCTTACTGTTGGATTTTGTGTTTCGTGGTTTTGTTGACGTGGGGT